ATATTTTTTATATGTTAACGCTTTAAATACCATAAATTGCCGTTTCGATGATTTCGTCTCACTTGTGCGCGACAAAATTTATCTAGAAAAATATATTGCTGTCACTTGTAATAACGAGAAGGAGTTCAGGAACAAATGGAAATTTTTTCTGTAGTTACTCGACAATTAACATGCAAACAATAATGTGGTAAATAGATCAACTGTAATTAAATTTGACTAGTGTAACTGTATTGTTATATATGTATTGTAAGTAGTGTAAGTTAATGTAGTTTAAACATGGTGTAAAAAGTAATTATAGTGTAAGTACATGTGTAAGTGTAATAAACAATAAAAAAAAAAAAAGAGTCCTGTTGAGGACTACACACACCCGGACGATCACACTACACTTTTACATATTACCTCCAGGTTTAAACCATTTACTGCGTGTTATTTCTAATGGTATCTTAACTAATAGAAAATGGGGTTTAAGGAAAGGGAAGTCGTTTTAAAACCTTGTACAGATTTTTCATTTACTTAGATATATTATTGGTTAATTAAAGAATTAGTTTGTATTTAGAACACGGCTCGATTGAAGAGCATGTAATATGAATTGATACCGTGTACAAATATAATTTTACCACCACCACTACTACTACCACTACTTCTACCACTACCGACAAATAACTAAAATCAAAACTTGTCCTTGCAGAAATATGTCAAATTTGCGAAGCGAATAAGCTGCATAATACGATACCTTGAATTATTCCTCATAATGATGGAAGGGAGGAACGGTGGATCGACGGATCGGTAGATCGGGAGAATGGTGGAATATCTTAAACGCGGAATGAAGGCATATCCTAAAATGCAGAAGGCCTTTTTGTTGAAAACAAAAGTCTCAAAATATGCAATTGCAATAAAATAAGAAAGTTATTCATAATTAACAGGGAAAATTAAAAGAAGCATGGATAATCATCGTTGGAGCCGGAGGATAGGGGAATCCGATTACGAGGTTTTGTTGCTAGCCCCTTTAAATAATTGTTACTATTGATATCATTATTATTGTTGTTAATTATTTTTTGCCATTCAATTATTGGTAAAAAATACATTATTGAATCTCTTGTAGAACAGGGTAATCATAAATATGTGGGATGCGGCAGATTTTGCCTTCACTGCTCAACCGACACACAAAGAGTTGATATATCTGGGCGGGTTGGCCAGCCAAGCCACCGTTTATTTAAGGCCAAGTCGATATGCTAACAGAAGCCTATTACAATTGAAGTAAACTAAATGCACCAAAGCCGGACACGAAAACCCCTAAAAACCAGCAGGTGGAAAAAACGGGGAACGTGTACCCCCGACCAAGGCAGCGGTGCCACCCTTGGGGTTTTAGGTATCCTATGAATGACATTTTTACATAACTACTAAAGGTACTATGCAAGTACCGCTCTAAATTTATACAAAAGACGAAAACGAAAACGAACAGCTACGCCCGGTGAAGGCTGACCGTAGAATGCCTTGTTCTACTAGCGACCTCTGCTTACGTATCACGATCCCATAACTCTCTTCGTACCTCGCAGCCACTCCCAGTCCTCCGATGCGTGCCGGAAAAATATCAATTTATGCTAATTAGGATTACCACAAATTACATGTTTTCTGTTTTGAATATGTTACTGTTCTTCCGCTTTTGTCACTTAAATGTGACATTGTCGTCAACATGCAAAGCGCGTGGCGCTTAAGGCCGACGACCACAGTTAGATGTAGCTCACGTAGTGTAATTAGAATTAAAATATGTAGACAATTTTAACACCGGTCGTTTCCCTTGAGGTTCGATAAAGTGTAGAGCTATTTTTCTCGAAAAATAAAAACATAATTCTAAGGTTCTACGCTTTCTGTCTTGGGGAAGAAACAGGGGTAAAGGATAATTATTACCCCCCTCTCTTTCGCTCTCAGCTCCACGAGTCTGAGGGAAATTAAAGTTTGTTAAATTAGTTGAGCTCTACTTGCTCTGAAAAGATGCTAATCTGCCAAAGTTACCGGTAAAATTTGCAATCCAAATAAAACTTTGGGGACGGGAAATAGAAATTAATTTACCATCAGAAGGAACTCCACACGGGAATCAATTTAAACCTTGCTTATTTTTCTCTGATTAAAAATCAACCAAAAACCGAGCATATCTTGAAAATTAAAATAAGTTGAAACAACTCCTAAAGTTATTAATTCTCAAAAACCAAAGTTTGATAAAATGACTGCGTTTTCTAGATTGAACGCCTCTTTTTCCATATGAAGGTCACTTAAACACTGCCTATATACAAAGCTGCTTAAGAAACAATATCAAGGCAAAGTACTAAGAGAGCCCTTAGCCTAAATCTATGAACTCTAGCAATACATGTACAATCCGTGCAACATGTCTACGATCTAAGAGTCGCGTTAAGAGGGAAGATATTTTCTGATAATATTATATAGTCGTTGCATCTGACTTAGATGTCTGGACACATGCCTTCTGATTGTATTGAATGTACTATCGAAGGACCCTCTGAACGGTGTAAAAGAATTTCATTCTTATGAAAGATTGAGTCTGACGCTCCCCTCAAGGTTTCATGTAGTTTACAGCTTGAAAAAAATGGAATTTGTGTTCCTACCCTTTGTTATTGAATCCTTCACCTTTAGGAAGCCTAGGTTGATTGAGCCCAGTTCCCTTATGAGTTGCCGCCTGAGAGTGGGATTTCTAAAGCAAAGTAAGTACCCCCAGGAGAATTTGATTTTGAGAATGGTCTATAAAGTTGTTTTGTTTCAGCTGAAATTATCTATAAACTTTTGAAGGAACAGCTCATCCCGAACACATTTTCAATAAGTGGTAATCTGGAAAATCCGGTTGATTACATGCTTGAATGGCAGATATTAGATCTGAGCCCGCGTAAAAGCGGTTTTGTCTGAAGATGCACGGAATCGAGGCACTTGGGACAAAGGCTTTGTAAATTCTCAAAGGTATCACTGTATATTTCAAGATAACTCGCATTTTACGCAATGTTTTTACTTTTATCGACAATCTGAAGCATTCAAAAGGCAAAGATAGCAATGGTTAGACATTGTATAGCATTTGGATGCAACAACCGGAGCGATATACCACATTGCAAGCATCTTTCGTGGCATTCACTGCCACTGAGCAACAAGAAACTTCTGGCGACTTGGTTAGTCAAGATTAAATGGGAAAACACGCCCGTAAGTAAAAAATTGTTTTATGCAGTGAACATTTTGAAAAGGAAGACTTTTCCAAGTCATATGCTGGCCGGAAAGTAAGTCTTAAGTCAGACTCAGTTCCGACAATATTCAGTTTCTCCGAGCAGAAAACCAAAAGGAAGGCTCCGAAGGCAAGACGCTCGATTGATGATGACTTTCCGGCCAAGATTTTGCAGTGTGGTTTATCGCTCCGGTTGTTGCATCCGAATGCAATACAATGTCTAACCATTGCTATCGTTGCCTTTTGAATGCTTCAGATTCTCGATAAAAGTAAAAAAAATAGCGCAAATTGCGAGTTGTTTTTAAATATACAGTGTTACCTTTGAGAATTTACAAAGCCTTTGGCCCAAGTGCCTCAATTCCGTGCACCTTTAAACAAAACCGCTTTTACGCGGGCTCAGATCTAATATCTGCCATTGTTACATACTGTAATCTATCTACTCAAGTGTTTTGTATTTAATACAGATTTAAATGTCCACTCTAAGGCAAGTGACCGAGAAGGATTGTGAGTGTGACAACAAAGCAGCACACCTCTATGACTGATATGCTTATTTAATTTGAAATAGTCCTCGCTAACTTCTAACTGGGACCGACATTCTTGTACCACTGTAAAAATCTGATATGACTAGAAATTTTACAACTCAGAGAAAATATATAATCCCCTGGAGTTCTAATAAAAAGTGATCTCACAAGTAAACTAAATATAAAACAAGAAAACCTTGTATCTACGACTGTTGCTTTAGTAGGCCACGCTGCTCATGCAGGAAGCATGAGTTTCTCCAGTTGGTAAATGAACAATGTTTTTAAATCTTTTTTTTTTTTGTTATTATTATTATTTTTAATTTCATTGCACTCCGCAATGAGCTCTTTTGCTCCAAATTAGTTTTAACTTCGAATCATCATCCTCAGTTGAATGCTCTCCGATCTTAAATCAACTTTAGAACGGATAATCTAATTTTTTTACACACCCTACCATTTGAGGCTCGGATAAGTCGGGAAAACAGATTCGCGCATTCTTTAGATTTAGCAAGGACACAAACAGTCACGAAATGCACGCACACCAATAACTTGCGAGTCAAATGAAAGAGTAATTTATGAATATTGACTACAAATAGTATTAAATTATGGCAATGACCATGTCTTCTAAAAAGCGACTCCTTTCGTAAATTTCCCTCAAATCTGCTAAAACGTCGCCACTTTGAATTTCGCATAGTAAACTAATCGCTTGCCAGTCAAGTAGCAAAGTATCTCTCTACTTCGTGTTCCTTTTATTAACGAACCGTTTAAACGATTAGAGGCTACACAGTAAGATTGTTTTAGTCATTGAAAGACATGCTCTGACACAGCAGTTTAAACATACACAAGAAAGACATACGTGTATCAAAGGAATAGGCCAGCAGGGGACAATACAAGATAAAAGTACCAAATATGTTTGAGATGTGCCGTCCTCCTAGTATCAATCATTGTTATCAAACCAAACAACCCCTTTTACATACCCCCTTGCAGAAAAAATATCAAAAGTTTGCGTTGTGTTTCCAAGGAACTGAATTTTTCAATTCTCTGAGTATACGAATGACATTAGATTTTGTTAGACATTTAAGAATAAACACTAGCGAGAAAAACACACAACGTTTCGATGACTCCATGTCATCATTCTCAAGTGAGAAGAGAATAAAAATGAATAGTTAATTTATACCGTACGAAGGTGGCAAACGTAAAAAGTTTAAAATATTTAAAATATTTAAATAAATAATTGCGCGTGTTGAGTTCATAAATGTAAACTATTAAATAAATAGTTTCGCGCGTATGGAATCCGATTGTTTGTTCAAAGAGGGCTTCATCTTCTTTATGAAAAGCATTTCATGAACTAAACAGTCCAGTTTCCCGGTGCACTTTTTAAGTACGTTGAAATGCTTGGTCAGGTCGCCGATGGTTTGTAGGCCGTGGTCGTTCTTTAGATGTTTGCCGATGGCCGAATTACGGTGCTCATTAATACGTTGATGTAAATGCCGGCTGGTGTACCCGACGTACTCTGCATCACACAGATCACATTTATAATTATATACAACGCATTGTTGGCTAACTATAGGAGGTTTAGGCTCACGTACTCTGAGATCTTCACAGATTTTGCGACTCTTGAACACGGGATGAAGGGTGTGATCGATTTTGTTGCTTAGATCTGATAATTGCCTTTTCACTGCGTCAGCTGACTTTTGATCTTTAAAAGGCAAAACCACTCGGTGAACAGCATTTTCGTTGACGGATAATTGAGCTTGCACTCCAGGGTTTTCCGACCTAACTGAGGTGACAAAGTGAGAGATGGTGGAATTGATGAGGTGGTCGGGATACTTGAGGTTTGTAAACATCATCTTTAGATGATCACATTCAGATTTGAAGGACTCCCATGTGGACGACAGGCGGAATGCACGATTCAACATGGTCTTAAGTAGTGATTTCTTGTACCTTTTATCGACGTGGCTCTGGTGATGAAGCAATAGGCCTGTGTTTGTTGGTTTCCGATAAACACTAGTTTCTAGTTTACAGCCTTTCTTGAGCACTTCCATACCGACAAAAGGTAACTTGTTTCCAGATGCTAGCTCCATGGTGAAGTGTATGGACGGATGGCAGTTATTTAGCGTTGATAATAAATCTTCTGCTGCTGGTACACTTGTGACAATACTCAACTCAACACGCGCAATTATTTATTTAAAATTTTTAACTTTTTACGTTTGTCACCTTCGTACGGTATAAATTAACTATTCATTTTTATTCTCTTCTCACTTGAGAATGATGACATGGAGTCATCGAAACGTTGTGTGTTTTTCTCGCTAGTGTTTATTCTTAAATCTCTGAGTATAGAAATCCAAAACATTGGCACGCTTTCCCGTGTAAGTCAAAATCGCCAACACTGCTCCATGGTTGACTCCCTTTTTTTACTTGATATTTTCTTTTCACTCTACTTAAGGTTTTTAGAATATGTTTTTTTGAGTACCTGCTGCAGTTGTTGTTGTTTTCCTTTTTCGTGCGTTCTTTCCTTTTTATTGACAACATTTTTTTCCTGAATCACGCCGCCATATAAACAGCATTCACTTTTGCATGATATGAGGAACCTGTAGCTCGCGTGAGCCTCCTGGTTTCTCAACGGGTTTCTTCGCCACATGCTAAATTTTGAGTTGTGCAAGATTATTGCTTATAATTCAACAGATATTTTGCTCGCGCGCGATTGGTCAAAACGCATCACTTGACCGAATTTCCCCCAACTAAAACTGGTGATTTCCAAGGATATGTTTATGTTGGCCCTCTGGCCCAATTCAGAGATCCCTGCCCTTAAAATTTAATTTACGATGAGAAACGTTGGGTGGTTCGTACAGAAGAAGAAAACTTTTGTTTTGTTCATAAAATCGTATCGGAGAACACTGGAATGTGAACATCCCACGCCGTAAGCGGTAAGCTATTAGTAAATATTTTCCGCGCGCGTTGGAAAATATTCGAAGAATAGTAAAAACAGTAATCTTCATTTGGCGGGAAAACATGCCCGTATATTTGTCTTTGGATATTATATGTTCCTCGAAGCTTACAGGTTTCCTTGAGCTTCCCTCTCTTAAAACTGTCCGCATCTTGGAACAGATAATATCCACGAATAAACATCTGTGTATCTTTCTAGAATTTTTGCATAATTTGCTGTGACTGACACTTTGCCAGTCCCTGGAAGTTATTTCGTCGCACGGGCCACGCAGGTATGTGGAGCAACTGGCGCTTTCGCCTACGTAGCTTTCTGCTTTCTGTGCGCGCCAAAATCTAATCTTCGCTTTGTACTAAAGTCGTTCACAACACGGCTTAAGTTCGTGGACGACCTCCAGTAAGCGCTTAGAGAAAGCTTAGCTGTGTTTCCGGTCAGCTAATTAAAATCTGAACAAAAACTTATTAACGAGAACATCGTGGGAAGGAGAGGTTTTTTCGGGCAGTTACCGAAGGGGTTTGGAAAGAGTTTAATCTTTCAACTGCTGCCTAGAGTGTTGAGATTCTTGAGATTCTTGAGCTAGGAAGGCCACGGATTCTCTCCTAGTTCCTTGGTCATTGTCATTTCACCTCTTCTGTCGATTGTTGAAGACCAAGTTAAATACCTTTGATCATTGGGAATCGATCGGTTACTGCATTGAACTTATTTTACTTATTAAACTGGCTTTGGGTTTTTACCCATAATCCTTTACGGTTCAACCTTGGCTTGCTTATTGACCCGTGGCCCAGCAAACAGAACTCAGGCAAAGCAGCATGACCAGCGCTTACTTTCAAGCAGGTAGTTACAAGGATTTGTTAAAAGAGAAGCCCTACGCCTCCTATGAACTAATTTTGTCTCGAGCCACGTATAGTAAAAACGTACAGAGTTTCAAAATACCTCTCAAGAATAGCCCTTAATCTGTCAGAATTTTTTGAATAATTATAGAAATTTCAAGAGTATTTTAAGAAAAAAATCATTAAAATTCGAGATTTTAACCAATCATGACTTATTACATGTCATAATAAAGCTAATAAAATGTGCTATTGGATGGACTAGGATATGCTCGTTTTCTACATAAATTATGCTTATTTATTCCATACATTTGCATAAATTATGGAAATTTTCTTACTTTTTCAAAACAAATTACCAGAAAACACCAGAAATTTGCAAGGAAAATACAAATCTTACAAGTTTCTTCAAAAATGTACTTCTAGACAATATTTAGAAGATATTGTTCTGCCTGTGGTATTCTTCATGACAACCAGAACGGCATAAACGTTTCATGCAAGATCTGCAGCCAAAGCCAGTTTCCTTTCGCTTTGCTCCTTTCACTCCAATGCAACAGTGGTGACATCTTCCAAACTTCAGGAGCCCCAGGTCAGCAAGATTGACAGAATCATGGTCCCTTCCATGAAATGGAGGGGGAGGCATGGCTGGTGCTGGGCCAGGCTGACGTCGGCAAGAAAAATTTCCAATCAGCTTGTGGATGACACCAGCCATAAATTTGTCATGGGACAATGGCTTTGGGGGTTTTTGTGGAGGTGGCATGTTCATAATTCGGAAATTTTCCTTGTACACAATGTATGCATTGACCATAATTGCATCCAAAAAGTTAACAAACATTCTCACCCACCATCTCCTGGACTTGCGATCAATAGCATAATTGCGCACCATTTGATCATGTCGATCGACAGCACCCATGTTCTTATTGTAGTCAACTGCACATGGCGGGCAGGGCAAATTTACCTGTTCACCTCTTCTCAGTTTTCTGGTGATTGTGCAATTGCCATGAGAAGAGTGCACATTTGATAAAAAAGAAACATGTTTGGTATCTTTCCACACTGTGCAAACTGTTGTTTCAGATGCCACAGTATGAAATTCACCACGCTTCATTTGTTTTAGTAAGTTTTTACCCTGCAAAGCCTTTGGGTAATTTTTTCGATTATTTCTTATTGTTCCCACAACACTGATTGATAGCTCACTCAACTCTTGCAAAAGGGGAATGCTGGTAAAGAAATTGTCAAGGAAAGGTGCTTGGACCCCAATCATAACATATTTGAAAATAATGCACTCAAGTATACTTACCCACAGAATATTAGCCAATTCTGTTTTCTGGCCTGTAGCACCCTCTGCATGGTTTTGCATGGTTTTCTCATGGACAGCCTCTTAAACATATTAGATAATTTTTTGTCAAATGGAGCATTTTAACCTGCTTCTGGCCATTTTTGTGAAGCAAATGCTTTATTTGCATAAGCTTCAATCCAAAGTTCATAAAAAATTTAAAGATATCAGTACCGTACAGCCATCTTAATTAAGTACTGTCAAGTTGAAAACGGAAAAACAAGGAAACTGCTATGTTCATCTTACCTTATGTAGAGTTTCCCTTTCTTTCAGCTGCTTTTTCAGTTCAATAAATGTTGGTCTTGCATGCGGGTCATTTTGCCAGCATCTCCTCATGATTTCATGCCTGAAAGTTTGTTTAATGAAACACGTCTGATACCATGTAATCCTGCAACCAACTAGCATCAGTTATTTTTTGAGAGATTTATAAAATGTTTCCTTTTACAATGAAAGAGAACAAGTTGGAAAAGACCGAATCCTTACAATTTTTCATCATTGTGTTGTGGTTTAGGCATCCTGTACCACTCCTGAAGTAAGTTTGCAATTTGTCTTACTTCCATTCTTGGGTAGGGTGAACCGCCTAGAAGAACCACACGAACATCGAATATAAATGTGACGAGACAATGACCTTCGCTGTAACATCATCTGTGTCACTTGATGGAATTTTAGCTTGCGCGTGAAAACTCACTGCGTTTTTCTAACAGAACGGAAATGTAAAATCATAAACATTGTACATAGCAAAAAAATATCTTCAGACTCTCATGAACTTCCATCAGATGTTACCTATGGTGAAAATCTCGAGCTCTAAATAACTCACTGAAAAAGAAATGCACTACTAAACCATTTGTATCCCAGTCTAACCTATGACAATAAGGTGACTGCCACTTATTTCAACTCAAGAACCTTATTTTTATGTGTAAGCTAAATCTTTCTGTTGGGTACATTTAAATTTCTAAAATTGTTTACTTTTTTTACGCATAACGCAACATGCAAGAATCACTTTGATTTCGAGAATTAAAGAAGGTGGGAGTCGAAAGTGAAATCACAGGGGGCCCATCCAATCTGTTTGTGTAGCCGACTGTTGTTGCCATTTACTATTAAGTAAATGGCAACGCCTAAAAAAACGCATGGAAACTATGATAACAGACAACAATGCTAAACCATTCTGGAACTATATAAAATCGAAACGAAAAGGAGCAAACGGCTTAGTGCTTTTCAAGAAAACGGAAAGGAAATTACGGACGACGAAAGTATAGCTGAAGAAATGAACTTATATTTTTCATCTGTATACACACAGAACAAAGCAATCTACCCGAACTTGGCAACATAATAAACGATAGATTGAGCGGCATTCTTTTCACTACCAGCTATGTGGAAAAATACCTGAAAACACTAAATGCTCATTAGTCCCCAGGGCCCGATCTGATCCTACCTCGCATCTTGAAAGAATGTGCACACGAATTGTCAACTCCTTTGTGTGCACTTTTTGGCAAATCATCTAGGTCAGCCTCAGAGTTGAACTCGGGATAACCGAGTGAGAAAAAACTCAGTGAGTCACCTGGTGGAGGACTTTATCCCTCGACAAAGTCCGTATCTGGTTAAACGGCGTGCGCTATTACTTTGTACCTGCCGCCATTCAATAGGCGTTTGTTATAAAATCCCTCCTTTTTTCCTTTCATTTATTGAATTTTTTTTTTTTTTTTTTTCCCCTTCAGGAAACCGTAACTAAGGAAAGATAACAGACTTTCTGGTCACACCAGCATGACCCCGATGTCTCAACTGTAACTTACGTCAGGAACACCTTTCATCTTTAAAGGTCCTACAATCAACAAAGTATACGAATATGTATAAACAGCCAAGAATATTTCTAAATTTTTTTTTGTGAGAGACTGTTTGTTAAGATTTAACCATATATGGTGCTATACATCAACACAGTCCAAGTGGGATATTGGGCGCACTTAATTTGGAGCCTCGCTCTGTTGTGCGACCCTCACCACACTCCGGTGAAAGTGATTAAATAAATATATTCTTACCTCTGTTTGCCTACAGCGCCTAAAAAAGGGAAAAAGACTGAAAATAATACGGACTTTTGGCAAAAATTTCGTTTTTAAATGAATCTTTCCACCCCAACCCCAATAGATAATGAATTGTTCCTTACCTTTCCTGCGAAGCCAAATTATGTAAGTTATTAGTGGAAGGATTATGGACACCAAAAAACCCAATTATTGCTCTAACAAAACGTCGTTACAAGAGCAGTTAGATTCCTCAGAACCTGAAATGATTCCTTTTATAATGGTTATTGAGTTAATATTCAAATAAGGTTTGCGCTGATCCTGACCGATACACTTCTGTCATAACACGTCTAGGCTTGGACCGTAAAATCACACTCTGACTGGCTGGATACTAAGAAAAAATAAGGCACTGCTCTCCTAAATGAAGTTTTAAATCTCCTGATTAGCAACTTTGCAGATTTCTTGAAAACGTCTGAATAAAGAACCGTTACAGCCATAAAAAGTTGCCTACCCACCAAAAGCTTCAGGGGTATATCCTTTTCTAACCATGCAGCCTTTACTTGTTGTTGTGTTACACAGAATGACACTTTGAAAAGTATGTTTGTGACATTTTGAAAGACTAAGAAAGCAAAGTACGTCAATATGGATATACCGTAAACAGGACGAGTTTTTTTGTGTGTATTTCCCTTGAGTGTAAATAAATCCCAAACCAATTAACTCTCCACTGAAAAGTATATCATAGATTAAGATATCTGTGAAATCATGCTATAAAGCAAGTATGCAGGGTACTTATAAAAATCTTGACATGTGATCACACAGTCGTAGCGCCAGAGAAATGAGGAAAAAAGTTTCATTGTTTTTTTTTTTTTTTTTTTTTTTTGGGGGGGGGGGGATTTGTCGTTTTGTCTTTTTGCCACGTCCTTTTGACTTGGCCGGGAGAGAATTGCTGGGCCGAGTGACGTCACAACAAGAATGAATGTTAACTTATTGTAGAAGAACGTGTGTCTATTGCTGTAAAATGATGTGAAAATGCCGACTCGTTGCGTGGTCGTTGGTTTCTCAAATATACCAGATTCGTCTTAAGGCATATTCAAGTGAATGTAACCACATTGATCGAAAGACATTCTTGCTGTGACGTCATGAGGGACTTTTAGTTACCAGTAATAACTTACCCCGGCCAAATCAGTAGGGCGGGGCCAAATGACGAACTTTGAGGCGGCATATCTCAGGAAATATTTAATCAATCAAAACACTTTTTTTGGAGATTGATCCTGATAACGCAAAGAGTCGAAATATATATATATATAAACCTCTGAGGGCGAATAGGGACTTTAAGCTATCTATCACTATCGATATCGATCACTATCAATCATATCAACTTCCTTACCATGTGCATAATACACGTGTGTTTTCCGGAAGGAGTTCCTGGGGAAAGAGACTGCTTTTAGGAGCAAAGAGCTTTAACAGAGACAATTTCCACACCGTAGGATAATGCTTAGAAAAAAAAGAGGCAACAGCAGCATGAAAAACGTAACATACGTCGCACTTAGTGTATTTAAGTTATAAACAACATTTGTTGATCGCACAAAGAGTTCAATATTGGGGGAGGGGCATTTAGACGTAATCTCAGGTTGAGAAGGGGGGAAATTTAAACAAGACAATATAAAGCTCAAATGTTAGGGGGTTGTGCTCGAGGGGGGATGTCAGTGCATAACTTTCTATTTTTTTTTTTAACACTTCCTAGTTTGATAATTTCCCATTGGAATCATTTTGTACGGACGGTGATTACATCAGGCGATCGGTACGGGTCGTACGACTCGTGAATATATTTCATGATTCGATAAGAGCCGTGGGACTGGACATACATGGGAGAGAAGTTCAAAGGGAGAAAATATAAAACAATACCCATCACGCATGTCAGGCTATTCATTGAGCACTTATTTATTGGAGGTTATTTTAACAACAATTATGGAAAATTTAATCGGAACTAAATATTTAGTCTGAAACAATTTAAATCTATAACGTTAATAAAAAATTATAGCTTGCTAGTTTAATATAGTTGTGGACAAAATCCTTTCTCTAATCAAGACTAAAACGCGTACTTAAAACCCCAAAAATTCATACAAAAATATGTGAAAGCTGTACTTTGCCCCACTTCTAAGTGTATTTTTCATACTTGCTTAATTAAAACAGAATGAAAGGTTAACATCACATCCAAAACAGTATAAGATCTCATGGGGCTGCAAAATTAATCATCCCATCCTTTGCTCCATAAAAATTAAACTCATTACACGGCAAGATCGTCAACGTTATCGTAGAGTTGATCATCGTAATTGTCCAAGTTTATCAGCCGCTGATAAAACAACGGAAAAAAAAAAATCAGTAATGTATATGAAGTATTGTACAGATGCTCTTTTAAGCTTGTAATAGATCAACTTTTTAAAATTACTTTTAATCGCACTTAAAAGCATGATGGTGGTGGAATTGTGTTTGAAAATACTCGAAATAAAGTGAAAAATAAAATGTTCGAAGCCTCCATACTGAGGCCATTTTCAAGTACATTTTACCGTGGTATATCGAAAAATTCAATTCTCATTGAAAGATATACGTAAGGAACATTACTGTGTACCTGTTGACAAACTCAACTGAACGTCCAAAGGAACTTACTATTACTACCCGAATAGGACTTCGTATTTTCTTCGGATTTTCGCTTATGGATCGATCTGAGAATTTCATGAAATGCATAATCAATTCACTTCTCGTGTCTCCAGATCAGGCTTTGGAACTTGTGCAAAATCAATGGGTGGAATTCCGATCTGTCATTTTTATCTCATAATTTCATAAAAATAGCTTTGAAACTCTGGTAACTTGAGATTAATTACAATCCACATGTGCATCTTTGTGCGTGCGAGATCAAACTTAGAACAATCAAAGGTTGAAAAACCTCTTTGTAAAGTCCACAATTCTACCTTGTGCTGCTCTTCCATGTCTATCAGTTTGTCTCTCAAACTCTCAAATGATGGTCTCAAGTTAGGGTCTTCTTTCCAACAGTTTGTCATTATGTCATACCTAAAACACAAGAACGTCAAGAATATCCTGCACTTTATTAGTAGCGCCAGTTACGGCGTCCTAAGGCCTAAAATGTTGCCATTTTTTTCTAAATGAAGAGTAGCAACGCTTGGTCTTTTCCTTAAGAAAGAGTTTGTACTGCAGAATGCGCGGAAATCTGCTCAGTGAAATATCGAAAGATGTCCATTTCTCGTCTTCTTTGGAGCGACCGATGGAAACGTTATGGAGAAATGCAGCGTCTCGCCATAATGATAACGTTCATGTTTATGACAAATGACTGGTTATAGGATAAAGGCTGAAAGGTTCTAAAGAAACTGTGGTGCTGCGTCGATGGGAGTAACAAGGTAATTTGGTTATATCAACTAAGTTGAAAATGTAAATTGGCCACCGTAACGAATAAAAAAGCTGACGTTTCGAGCGTTAGCCCTTCGTCAGAGCGAATGGAGGAATTGTGGGCTCTATGTGGGTATATACGCAGAAAGCGGAGCTACACCATTGGTGGGAACATGGCGACGAGAAAAACACTAATAAATTAGTGGGATGAAAAGCGTTAGTTGATACCTGTGGGACTAAGAGTGCCGATTTGAAAGATAAACTTTTGTTCAAGAGTTTTGTGGCTTTCCGTGTAGCCTAAATGTAAGGAAAGACCGCTGATTTCCATATGTTGTTTACAATGATTAGGTAGCGACTGGTTTTGATGCGTCCTTGTCATTCCTTTCTACATCATGAAGGTGTTTGCGGAATCGGTCCCCTAGTCCTCTTCGTGTTTTGCCGATGTGCAAGTTATGCAGTAGATTACGTTGGCGGAGGTGCACGTGAAGTGATCGGTGATCTTAATGGATCGCCTGGGTCCCGATATTTTCTCAGCGTTGTGAATGAAAGGACACATTTTGCATCGTGTGCGAGCGCATTTGAAAGTGCCGGGTTGGTCATTAGCTTGAAATGAACTTCTGACCAAAAAACTGCTGGCCTATGTTTTTGTCGCGTTTGAGTGAAATAAGTGGAGGTTGTCAAAAGATAGTGCCAGTCTGTGGATCGTTTTGAAGTAATTTAAAGTTTTTAAGAATAATGGATTTAACCAAGTGGTTGTGAGGGTGAAACGTGAGAGTGAATGGATTCGGTCGGAATTTTCCTTCTGTGACGTTTGTAGTGCTGACTGTCGACAATAAGTTGGGCGCGGTGGTGACCCGCTTGAACGACAGAAACAGGGTAACGACGTTTTTCGAAAAACAGGCACATTGACTCTGATTTGTGGGAAAAATCAGAGTAATCACTATATAAACCACGAAGTCTTAGAAACTGAGAAAAGGGAATGGAATTCTTAACATGAGATGAATGCGAAGATGCAACAAGTACCTATGTGAGTCTGTAGATTTGTAATAAACACTAGTAGATAAACCGATGCTTTCAATTGAAACTTTGATATCTATTGTCGGAAATTTCCCAAGTATATTTTGGAGCCGGGTGAAAAGAATTGACCGCGGTTATAAATTGAGTTGGGATACTTTCATGTAGATCAGTCAACTTTAACATGTTTCACATGACATACATGTATAACAGTGTATCTTCAAAGGATTTCAGATTGCTCACATTCTTGTGAAAGAAGGTGTAGCACTCGGAATCTGGATGACATGCGCACAATTTAAGGTATACGTTTGTTGTTACGTCGCGTGGTTCTCCATGAACGCTGATCAATTTTTTTTTAAAGAAGACAACCAGAGGCGAGATTTCTCTTCGGGATAGTGCTCCTACGATAACATTCTTTCAAAGTCTTGCACGTTTCATTTGTCTAAAATGTTTGTTGTTTAGAGCATTAGATGTAAACATCGGCAAATTATGCAATATCCGATTTTTGAGCTTCGTTCACTAATTGCCCCTGTGAAAAGTAGAGGCCGGCCCGCAGATATTTTTACACATTTAAAAACAAGAATATTATAACCAACTAGGTGGGTAGTTTCAGCTCCAGACTCGGTGCACTTTTAGAGAAATTCAGAAAAACGTTTTCCCTGTTTTACCTAACAGCAAAAATGACCGAAACTGTACTGTGATAAATAATCTATTAGTGTGTTTACATTCTCTTCCAGGGAAAATTGAATGCATCAAAGTGAAGACGAATGATGTTACTCTGCATATGATAGAAGAATCAATTTGTCATGTTGTATCTTGCTTGAGATAGAGAAATAAACACTTACACTTTTTTTTAGATGTTTTTGTATGAAAAGGGCCTCGGACAAGCAACCATTGTTACCATGGCAACAGGAGTGCTGCAAATTTTAAAAAAGGGCATTTTTTGTGCATCCCCCCTGAGTGCCTAACTGCATGCATAATTCGAAGTGGGGTTGAAAATTTTCATTTCTAAAGATGTCTGATTCTTACAGAGCTGTTCTTAATGCAAAAGAAAAATTAAAAGAAACTATCTCAAGAGAAAAAGCGTCGTAAGAAAAAAAAAGCAACAAGAACAACAGAATTGTTACATACAACTTATCATCCACGTGTTGTGGTTTAGGCATTCTGTATCCCGATTCTAGCAACGTTAAAATTTCTCCTCCATCCATCTCTGGATATGGTGAGCCTCCTGAAATGGAGAAGGGACTCTTGATACTCACCTACAACTATCTTACTCTTTATCTACGAATATAATTCCTGCACCATTGCTCATATTTTCCCAGCTTAACCTGCTGACTTCTTGACGCGTTAACCAACATTTTCAGGCTAAAATGAATAGTCTGTGTATCAGCATTGCAACTTACCAATCGTGACAATCTCATAAAGGAGAACTCCGTAGCTCCACCTGTAAAAAAAAACGGGATAAATTCAGGGAAATAGTTGTTCTTGTTTGTGAAAAAAAAAAAAAATAATAATGTCTTCAGTAAACCCTTAAATAAGGTCACCATGCTCGCCCCATAAGCTGATCCTGGGCCAATACTTATATCTCATAGCCAGAAAGTGTATTACCACTCCTTCTGAATGAGATGATGCCACATCAGTAACACATAATGGCCACACTACAGAGTAAATTCAATAACTTTTTTCCAAGACCTGGAAACACTTCATTCGACGCGATTTTCATTAAACCTAAAAAGGCTATGTGTTCTTTGTACTCACACGTCACTTTTTGTGGAATATTTTCCGTACAGCAGCGCCTCAAAAGCAGTCCATTTTAAAGGGATACGTCCCTAAATGAAAAACGATTTGAATTGATTGGCAAAAGTTATGAAAAGGTAGGAATGGAAGTCATAACTTTTCTTGTACTAGACTGATCACAAATTTCTACCTTGGTTGAATAATACTAGCGGTGATATGATATGTTGAAGAGCAACCAACAGAGCCAATACAGACCATCGTACAAATTAGCTAATTTCCACACCAACTTATGGTACCTTTGACCTCATTTGATAAATGTTGTCCTCTTGAATATCTCTGGCCATACCAAAATCTGTTACTTTGCACGTTTCACCTTCTCCAACCAATACATTACGAGCTGCAAGGTCTCGATGGATAATCTACGACAAATCAACACAATCGCGAAACCAGTTTAGGGAGTCCAGAAGAATCGAACGAAGATAATAAAAAGTTACGATCAATATGATAGTTCACTAACTAAATACGGCGTTCCTGCTTACTGGTATCGATGACAAATATGACATTCCATCGGCAACTTGCCACGCATATTTCATCAACTGCTTTGAAGTCAGATTTGTTTTTGGTTTGATATCCGGGTCTTGGAAGTAAGTGTCATTCAATCCACGGCTCTTTCTCAGGTATCCCAGTAGATCTCCATAGGGAACATATTCAATTAACACCATCACTGGTCCTGTGAACCATTGGAAGCGTGAAAATATACAGTGTATCTTAAATTTCTGCAAGAAACCTGCCCAAAAATACTTGTTTGGGCAGTTTAAGTATACTTTTCCATATTTACCAGATCTCGTGACACATCCCAGAAGTTTAATGACGTGAGGATGGGCATCGAGTTCCTTCATCAATTGAAGTTCAGACAACAAATCCTTCCTGTCCGATTCAGAAGCGTGCTCTGAAAGATGATCACCAAATAACTGTTACCTTTACAAGCAATGCCAGTGACTGAAGCGAAATAAGTAGTAAGTTTCCTATCTGACTCAGAGCTCTGTGTTGCTCAGTGATGGACAATCCCCCTCAAAATCATGTGGTCGTGAAATAATATTAAGGTTAGGAAATACACTATACGAATTTATCTTACATGGAGCTCGTGTATAAAGCGCAGAAAGTCCGACTGAATTGGGCAGAAAATCCTGGTTCAGCCGTCGTAACATCATTCTCAATCGACAAATTCAAGAATAAAACTCTACGTACCTCTGCTATACCACTATGACCATGTTTAAATGATTTTAAATTCAACTAGCGTAAGATTTCCGCAAAACAAGTGCTGAGCGTCAACGATTAGCAGAGGCATTTCCTCTTTAATACTGTAGTTAAATGTTTAAAGGGACTTTTATTTTGTTATTTTAAATTTTGAATTGAAGTTTGGTACTTTTAAGTAGTTGGAAGTTAGGTGAGTTGATGTTAGCAAGAATTTCAATTTCGACTTATATACGTTTCTTTCAGTAACTTCCTGTAGAAAAAAGGGTAGATTTTTTTTTATTGGTACCTTTCAACATCTTAACAGCCACTAGTGTCGTCGTTGGTCTACCCTGGAGGCCTCTGACTTTTGCCTTAGCAACCTGACCAAAAGCCCCTTTACCAACGACCTTTTCTAGAGTCACGAGCTCTAATGGAATCTCCCGAAAGAGTGGCCATGAATAGAGAGAGGTGTATTCATTGACTGGCTCGGAAGGTTGTGGAAGGTTCGCCCGCTCTGCATTTGTCATGGAGGATGACCGATTCTGCTCATCCAATGCCATATAATGCTGGCTTTGAGAAAGCTCCGCCATCTCAAGGCAAGTCTTTAAACATAATCAAACATACTAGAGTCAAATGACTATCACGATTTTTGACTGTTATTGTGCCCTTGGGCAGAGGTAGAAAAATCTGGACTGCGCTGAGAACCAATCAGATTTCAGAATTTGTTTCCGTGCCAACTTTGGGAAAAAAAGGATGTACGGTGTTCCTTTGGACCCATGAGAAAGGGCGCACTATAAATGTCTTATTATTATTATTATTATTATTATTATTGTTATTACTATTATTATCACAATAAGGTTAATTGTTAAAATCTTCAAACGACTTACGTCAACAGGTCCTATTTCTTCTGTTGTTTCTCCTTTTGTCCTAAGAGTAAAAAAAGGAAGATCACACTTTTTTGTCAAATTTGAATTCAATTGGACGAAAAAACGTGGACGATTTGTTCTGATGGAAAAGCTCACCTCGGAGCACTCCATTAGTATAGTCATGAAACAATTAGTGACCGCATGCCATGTTTTGCACTGCTGTCTTGGCTCAAAGAAAGTTATGATCAGGTTTCATAAATATCATTGCTAAGCATTCTTTACTCAGCATTAAGCAAACTAGCTCTAGAAAGTGATAATTATATCTAGATAGCCTACCTCTCAAAAGTCTCGTGATTGGTTTCAAAGTCATCACGTTAAGAATGCTCTAAGAAATTGACTTTAGATGAGCTCTTTCCCCGAGCGTAGCCTTCATAATCCAGATTTTTAAGCTAACAGACGAATTTACAGCTGTACACAGCTTGTAACAGGTAACAAAAAACAAGACATGAAATAGGACGATTATTTATCGTTCTAAAAATCTCACCTTTCTCCTTTTCCTGTTCCCAAAAGGTTAAGAAAAATAAAATACGAAAAACGCATCGTAAGATAGAAGGAAAGAAAGAAAAACCAGCGCGAAAAGTATATAAAAAGAAAGTAAGAAATTAATTTAAAGGCAATGGAAAATAACGTCTTCTGATATTTATCTTATTTTATGCATGGACAATAGAGAGCGGTGAGCAACAAGTTCAGTGCGAAATCATAAAATAATAGAGACACGATCAAAAGAGGGCATGTAACCACGGTTGTCATTATTTTGAGGTGTGTGTATTTCGTAAACGCAACAGATCATAGAGGACATTAGCCGTGTTCACCTAGCCTCACCTGCACTTTTGGTCTGCACTTTTGGTATTCACGCGCAATGCTCGTGATTTCACAATATCTGCAAATCTTTTCCACAGACTTAAACTTTGACATTTGGACGTAGACACTTTCGGGTGCTCTTGTTGTTGCTTTTCGCTGTTGGACTGAGTTGTTTTATCTTGAATTTTCTGTTACCACGCATTTGTCAAATTTTTTTCCTGAAAATTGTCGGAGTTTAGGAGTTCCCAATTTATCGATTCACTAGTTTCATTGCATCTTTCATGAAAGTTTTAGACTCCGACATCTTTTTCTTTTGAAAAAAGTTATTTCTTACAACTGTTTGGAAATCTTCGAACCTGCCTTTTTTTAAATGAGGCTTAATGAAATAATGGGCTAAGTTGTAATTGCTTAATATTACGCGACACTTTTACGGGGGTAAAGTTGGCATTTACACTACTCTTACCATTTAAGTTTTTGCTGTTACAATTTCTTAACTTCCATACGAAACATATAAACATTCCAGCACCAACAACCATTGCGGCCGTTGATCCAATCACTGCACCAGCGAAAATATCTGTGGCACCTTGAAAACAACAGAGAACAATATATAAAATACAACTGTACCTGTCTCCATAAACTAGATGTTGGCAATCTTCCGCTCAGTCATGACGCCTTTTTTTCTACGCAAACAACTTTTAGTTTAATAGCCCTTATTCCAGTTCTACGTGCGCGGTGTAGTTGAACAGCGGCTTCCTGTACTAGTGCACACGAAAGCGAGGCTATCGGGTCAAGCTTTCTCGAAGATTACAGAAGTTGTGAAGTCGAATTTAGCATGAACGTCGAAAATGTTGAATTATTTTCAAAATCAGCATTTTAATCGGCCGAAGAGAAAGTGAAAATTATAAGCGGTAAGCGTCCTCGTCATTTTAAAAAAGGAAGGCTGAAGGAATGGCTCTCGTATCGCAAAGGAACTGCCAAAGACGGAAGTGCTTGATCGACAGCTTCGAAACCCATGCTAGTTCAAAGGTGAGTCCATGATATTTATTTAAATCTTGCCATTTTTACCCTGATGATAAATCGTTACAGAATCTTAATTTCTGCGTAACCTTTCTTTAAAATAGGGTTATAAGGTACACCAAGAACGGATGGGATGACGATTTTCTTGAAAAGTGGCAGCACTTGACACGTAAACAAGTGAACGAAGCGTGCAAAACTACTAGTACCACGACAGCTGTTACAAGTAGTGGTCTTCCTGATTCTGTGGATTCGAGTGGATCTTTGAGCACGATTAGATCTGTGTTTTCAATGCTCCTCAGTTGCTCATGAATGACATTGATGTCCACAGTCGTATCCTTTTTCACATTGAGACATCTGGCGGTCTCAGTTCTCTTCTCTGTTGTTGTTGTTGTTGTTGTTGTTGTTGTTGTTGTTGTTGCTTGTCGATCTTAAGGTATTTTCCTCCGTGGCTTTTCATAGAAGAAAACAAACTTCGTAGGTATAGCGTCCGGTTTGAGTCGCATTCGCTGTCCTCCTAGGGACTTTACAAAGCACTCAAGCTCAAAATGCTTGGTACATACATAGAAAAAAAAATTGTTTAAAGGAGTGTTCTCCCTTCGGATTTTTACCAGCCATTTCTGGAGAAGATGTTTGTTTGATAGCGGCAAAGAATGCCGTGTGAGGCCGCAACAATCTTCTTTTGAACTTCGGCTCGCACAGCCAAAGGCTATACAGTGTCTAACCATTATGTTTTACCTAAACTTTAACAGCGATGCAATATTTTCTACACTCCTGCTAGTAATCTTCAGTGAAGCTTGAACTAATAGCCTCGCTTTCGCGTACGCAACTATAGGATACCACTGTCCAAGTAAACCGCGCACGTGGAACTGGAGTAAGGGCTATTCCCGACAAATTAAGGTTACTTGCCATTTTCGCGAGTGTCCTTGGAGAAAAAAATCGTACGCGCGCTAGTTTGAATAAAATCCCAACAAGCTCTACATTAGAAGAAAGCTTATGAAATCTAATTTCCAATAAAAATATAATTCAAGCAAGTTTTCTTTCATGGAAGCGTCAGGACCTGATAAGGCTTGAAACGACCTAGGGTTCTTGTATCGAATTCAACGGGTTTTCGGGATATTGGATGCCGCAACAAAAGCAAAATAACTGCACACTCTTATTCACATGGTATCAATCAATAAAAATGATTTTGGTGATATTCTTATTGGTTGTCTAGATATCGGCATCTAAGCTGGAGAAGCTAAAAATTTGCGAGTCAAGTTGCGTAAATGGACACCAAAGGACAAGTATTTCAATTATCACAATTTCCTGGTACGCTTTCGTTTGTAGTTATTGCTGACAATTGATCAAATCCGAATACCCTAAATATTCGCTCAAAGTGTATATATGCCTCTAAAACAAAATGCTAAGGACGAAGAGGACGACACGATAAACGTCAAAGTTGCCAAAAGGCAAAGGAAAATCCCGCGGCTGCAACTGAAAAACCGGAAAATGAGCTGAGAAGGAGGACAACCAATCAATAGAGAGCTTTCAAATTACGATTCAAGGCGGTTTTGAATGTTTCTACATGAAGGCTGGTACTTGCATAATAAAGAAGAAACCTGGTTTTTTATTTATGTAAGACAATTTTTGGTCTTGTTAAAAATCTGGACGCCATTTTTCTAAATAACTCGGACGCTTTGGAGAATTTACATTTTATTGGAAAAACCTCAGGTAAAATGTTTGACTTTAATTAAGTCAAATAAAAGAAAAAAAAAACGATTTCTTCGGCATCTGAAGGCGGTAACCTTAAAAGTCCAATAAAAGCGATATTGCTACCAAGAGGAAGAAGTCCAATTAAGTAGGAGAAATGAATTACAGGCTATGCATTCCCCCAGTGCTCTATCCTACTTTATTAGGATGTTTAAAGACAATATTAGAATTACTGAGGCTGTGCCGTATTGACCGGGCGATAGCGAGGTCAATACGGCTAGGTCAAGATTTAAGATTTCTCCTTGACGACCGAACGGTCGAGGTTACTATTTTTTTGGCTTACAAACTGAAGAAAAGAAGAATTTAGGAATTCAATCGAAAGTTATCAATTTACATCCGGTGATCATTCATCATGTACTCCAACCAACGGTAAAACTATGCAGTCAGTGAACTACACCACTGTAAAACATTTCGTCGAGAAATATATATCATTCATCGGTTGGGTGGTCCGTATGGGGAGAAACTGTGCACTACGTCTTAGATACCACTTGAGGCCGTAGGCCGAGGGCGGTACTTAAGGCAGAGGACGCACTTTTTCCCAACACGGACCGACCGACTCTAATGAATGACAGGCTTGTTTCTTTTTCGAAAAGTTAACGAACCGCTTCTAAATGAACCTGGATGAGTTAGGGCTTTGGTCACGGCAAGATTCGCCTTAAACTGAGCCGAATTTTTAGCAAGTAGATATTGGAGAAAAGAGAGATAATCGAATTAGAGAGGGAGGCTTCACCAAAACATTTTTATTAGCTTTTCAAAAGGCTCCCAAACAAATTTTGTAACAGAAAAAGTCTACATTCTCTGGCTGTTAATCGGCCTTCGTTGTTTTCGTAAATTTCGTGCTCGTTCTAATTTGCATAATTCATAATCTGCCCCTTAGAATTACCGCTGTATAATACCTTGCTCTGAGCTTGCTCTTAGCCAATCAGAGTGCGCGTTACATCGGCCATAGGACTAAGCCATATAATAAGGATCTTATATAGTAAGGGCGAAGCGTATGCTGCTTGATTTTTAATTCATGTGATCTTGCACTCTTTTGTTGCACAAGGAAACCTGCTCTAGTCCATTAGAAGGGTCTCAATGGGGTTAACGCCAAATGGCCAAAATATTAACCGTCAACCGTCAAAACGCAATATTTTTACCGTAAATCATAAATAAACAAGGCAATGATAGCTGTCAAATGTCTCAGATATCCTTAATTAAGAACTAAACTCCTCACAAGTGACTGTTTGCTCGTGGATACTATAGACGACAAGAATGTTCCACATAGATTCTGAACACTATGAGAGAATACTTGTTTGTGTTTCTCTTGAATGCTATGAAATCCCATTCCCATTAAGCACTACTCTAAAGAGCATGTTATAGATTAAGATTTCTGTGAAATCTTGCAACCAATCAACTGCAATGTATTTATCAAAATACTTCAAACTTACTGTCGGGTGGCGTTACCATGCCTGCTTCAGTAGTTTCAGTTTCAAAATCAATTCGCATCCTTGTTCTATTTATAGCACTCACAGTGAAGTCTCCAAGCTTCCCATCGTTGGAAGCATTGTGAAGTATTGTAATAACATCTTGCTCTTTTGTTTTGGAATTGAATATGAGTGCTAGGTCAACAGTAATACGTCCACATCTTGATCAAGACAAAATATGAGGTTTAGAATAAAGTGGAGTGTATTACAAGCCAGAGATTTATCATTCATATGCTGATTCAAGCAGTTTACAAACCTTATGTTATTTTTCAACGTTGCACCTCTTAAACCAGCAAATCTCCCAGCAAAAGCCTTCTCCATCTGTAGAAGGAGCAAGAAAGTGAGAGTGAAAAGTTCATCAAGCACCTTTTAAGACCAACACACGATCAGATTAACATATAATGTTTATTGAAAGAAAAAAAGCAGTGTTTTGATAACTTGTCATGAATAACTTCTTTCAAAAACCACTCCATAGCATGCGCTGCGCAGGGTCACTTGAGACGTTTGAGTTCCTAAGAATAAGTTTCTATTTTCATTGGTAGCCAAAAATCATTGAACAACAACCAAAAAAAATTTAATTGCGTGAAACATGCTGCAACTGTACAGCACAAACAGAAGTAACTATTAAGTGCACAAGAGACTATAACCTCTTGCTGTGAATCTATAGATAATCAAATTATCTATTCTAATTAAAATGGTTACCACTTTTTGGAGTCTCGTCAATAATGAGGATTGGTCGTATTTTCCATTGGTACAAGTTTCACTGGTGACGACCATGGTTATGTTTATTAAATTTCTTGCAAAAGCTGTGCGTGTAAAGTAAAAGACACTAAAATAAGACATGAATAAACAAAGATTTGTTGATATTTTGCTGAATCATTCGCTTATCGTGTTTACATCTCATTTCCCGAGTGAAAGCAGAAATGCCATCATTAAAAGATGAAAATAGGGACTAAGGGGCCACCACTTTCGTTGAGTGGTTCAAACTTCTACCTTGTTATCCAAATAAAATTTTAATAAGCTATGATCTCTGTATGTTGGACATGGCAACAAAGAGGCCTGGAAGCCTTCAGGGTAGCATACCCTTCCAGCTCTCAATTAGCTTCTACAAGATTCATTTAGGAATAATTCTCCAACAAGAGGATATACTCCATAAGACTTTCACGAGTAGTAAGTTACAAAGCTGGTGGAATTTAACTTATCTACACTAGACTGAGTCTAGTTTCTTTCTGTTACTTGCACGCATGATACGTTTGGGTTGCCTTACCATAAAAACACATCATCAATATCTTAAGCATGAAGGAGTTAATTTTTTAGAGAAACTTTAAACTCTATCGGATGACCTCGAAATGATCCTCTTCAGCCATTAGATCTTTTATCTCTCGGTAATGATTGGTACGAGACCATTATGAATAATTAACATACCTTCACAATCTACCACATTAGACGGTTGGTAGTAACCTTCATTACACATGCAACCAGTCCTGTCAGTATTAGATACTGAGTTTCCAGGACAAGGTTTACATTTTTCATTACCAACAGAATCCTTGTAGAAGCCTTTCTGACACTCTAAAATGAAACAATGTGCAATTTCATCAATTTGCCTTTTCTTCGGAACACTTTAATGCAATGACCATGTAAAAAAATCCTACCATACAAGTGATTAGTATGTGACGAAAAGACACATATTGATAACCCTGGCATTAGTCGTTACCATAGGTTTGGTTACCGAGATAACTCTTTTTGTCTTCACTCCTAATGACTCTCATGGTGACTATCACTCAGGTTTTTTGAATGACATGTGTACACAAATTAAACAAACCCTCCCAACCTGGTGTTTTCAGACTTAGCAAACTAATACCTGAAGCCAAAGACCCGAGAACGAAGACCTTAAACATCTAAACATAAATTCGTCGATCTGCGAAAAAACCCAAGACGAAGCGAAGCGAAACGAAACGGTACTTTCAAAAAGGTTGCAAGAAAGCGGTTCTTTGTTCTGAGGTCTTCGTTTTCGGGTCTTATCTATCTATCTCGGCCATTTAACTACGTCCCCCTATGGAATCTATGTGAACATGTAAAGTACGGCCGAGTTCTACATGTTCATTTCAATTATACATGGGACCTTCCATAAGTTTTCTATCTATGTTTTACCATTTAATATATATTTTGGACCCAACGTAACACTTCGGAGGCAAATCCAAGTTTTAAGTGCAGCACTAACCTCTGCATACAAAAGAGTCTGAAGATCCATTGGTGAGTTCATAGGCATAATCACAAAGACAGACTGAGTTAGCTGTGATGTTCCATTCCCCATTACTAAGGCACATGCCAAACAACTTTCTGTTGTCTATATTACGTGAGTTAGGATCTGTACATTCTCCTTCTTGTTTGGTTAAATTGATATCATTTGCTGGGGCAATTGTTCTTGGAAATCTAACGAAGGGAGCGACGATCGTTTCCGAGCAGAAAAGATATCTTACAACAAACTTGCTTATTGTCAAGCAGGCTCCTTGATCTAATAATCCCAAATAAATTCCCTTTGCTTTTGCTACTATTGACCAATAAAATGTGTCTGTTGTTGGAAGAGTTTTTGGAGTAATAACAGTTTCTTTGTGGAAATTTGCTTGTGTTGGGTCTAGACCAGAACCTAATATGTGATCCGTATGATAAGAATAGAGGGTGAAGTTTGTTCTGCAGACTGGCCACACGTAGGCTGAGGGGCAGTTACGAAGGGTGTAAGTCACCACAATATGGAGTCGCGTCGCATCTTTGATATTAATAAAGTCCGTTAGTAACCAGTTCTTTGGTTCCTCATTTGTGTTATAAATATCACAGACACTGTAAGTTGGCGATTGAGTCCAATGATCCCGAAGGCGAATCCACTGCAAGAGAAGAAAGAATTAAATTATTTAATAGAGAGCTTAAGAATCGGACGTTTTTGATTCACGGACGTCAACCGGAAGTTTAAATATAAGCTTCGCAATCAGTACACATGTGCAGACGTTTTTGACGCGAGGTCGCACACGTGAAAGCAGGATGTTTGCCGTGCGTGTTGTTTTGCTCTGTCTCAGGACTGTCTCAGTACAAGACTGACACCATGTCTTCATTTTTAATCGCCAAATCGAACCCGTAAGTACATTGTATGTCTCATAAGAAAGTAGTTTTTTTTTTATCTGCACTTAATAACTTTTAAAAATGGGACAAAATGTGCCTAACTGTGTGTTTGGCACAAGTTTCTGCAGGTTCTGTTACTTGGTTTTGTTTTATCGTGAATTGGTTTTTATTTGTCGCCATTCTTTTAGTTACCCTACGAGCAGAGGTTTTTCCAGAACAGGAAAAATACATATATAATAGTTTACCTGTTCTGGAAAAAACCTCTGCTCGCAGGATACCATTTAGCCCCTCTAACTTGTCGGCAGTGGTTCTCTGATTACAGTGGAAGGTGTCCGGTAGTCGAAGCGCATCAGGCAGCAATGGAAGGTCCTTTTTTCAACTCTAAACTCGGACTTGCACTCAGGTTCCTCGATACTCTCGATACTAAACCTCGCGTATTTTTCGTACGAAAACTCAGGGTTTTTTGACGAAGTCTCTTTCAGTAATAGCAACAGTTCCTCGTCCGATATCAGTCCTTGGTCATGAGCGATTAAAAGTAATTTTCTCACATCCCTTAAATACGGCATGTTGCAAATTACGGCCACATTTCCTTTGTAAACAGTGACAAAAAACGTGACAGCTGTGATGAGCTGTAACGTTCGTGGTGACGCAGGTGTCCAGCTTAGGTAAAACATTTCGCGCCTAAAACGCCGTTGTCGATTCAGTCTCCCCCGGTATTCTGACATCCGTGACATCAAAAACGTCTGATGCTTAAGCTCTCTAATTAATAAACACTCATTCCAAAAGTGATGGGTCTGTGCATAATACATTGTATATATGCAGATACACTTTGCCGAAACTTTCTGCTCATATAGTAGACGAGTATTGAGGTATTGAGCATTATCAGAGGGACCAATACTTTCAATGGGTGTTCAACACGATTCAGGATTTCTAAAAATAAACAAATCTAACCATTTAATTACTGAAATCAACCTCCAATGACACAATTTTACAGCGTATGGGCTTGTTAATGTAATATTTACTAAATACCTGAGTGTTCCATATAATCAAACTTTGATCTTTTTGGAATAATGAATACCTCTGATTGTCACTGACTCATAACTGACTCTCCGTTATTTCAACTTCTTAGTAAAATCATTGGTCCACGTTCTAGTTTATTAGAGGATAAGAAGAAGAAGAATACTGAAATTATTAGAGATGTTGGGGGAAAAACATTAGCTATGCATAATTTATGTAATTACTGATTAAAAGATAAGTTTAATCAGGTTCATGATAAAGAATCAGTTAGACCAGAGTAAGTGATAGTTAGCTAGAAGAGTTGACACAACTGATCAGAATAGGAAATAGAGTGTTTCAATGAGAGTATTGTGACACGGTTAAGGTCCTGTATTGCTCTTGTAAAATATTTCTCTCCAATAACATGACAAATGAGGGTTGTTCATTTGCTTCTTGATTGGTATGATTAAAGGTCTCAAGATAAGTCAAATCTCTCTTATTCTAGGTGACCTGTTTCTTTTCAGTTCACTTTCTTTGCATATAAGATGTGCCTTATCAAAAGTAAAAACATGGAAAATTATCCCTGGTTTGGATTTCCTTAAGACTTTATATTACACGAGAGTTTCAAATCACTTATTGTACATCAACTGTACATTTACTGGTTTTACGGGGCTCTTCTTTTGCTCCAACGAATTCCTCTGCCCATATATATTTGGGTTTCAAACCGCCCTTCATCAGCATCATTACCCTTTTTTTTTCTTCTTTCTTTTTTTTTTTTTTCATCTTTATTTTGATTTCTGTGATAATTGGGAATATTACTGTTACTTTTTATATGACTTAGACTCGTGGCCGATAAAACGTGCGATCTGATTGGCTAAGAGCGGGATCAAAGTAGAACATTACACAGCAGTGATACCCATGGGTCGAATATGAATTCTCCAAATTTTGAAAGAACAAAAAATGTCAGATAAGTAATGCAGCGATTATCTTTGCTTTTTTAACTTTCGAGCGTACAAAAGCTGATTAGGAGCCAAAGCGAGTAGACTCGATTTAATATACAAGATTGTGCTGGGAGGATAAGATAAACGAACACGGATATATTCAAGCTTTTATCTAATATAGGAAACTGTATAGAGTTCACACTGGAAAGCTCTAATTGGCAGGCTGACATATCAAGGAAATATTCACAGATGAATTTTAATGAGAGGTCGTTTTTGACTTTCCACCTGGTAACGTTAGAGGGCACAACTGAAAAAGAATCAAAGCTTGCCGTATCATATTAACACCTTAAAGTATCGGTAGCTCTGTCATGCATCCTTAGAAGAACACTTCAAAAAATCTGGTAGTCTCAACAATTACCGAAAGTTTAAAACTTTCTCTCAGTTAGCTTAGTATTTCTTAGCTATAGTTCCACTTGCTATCAAAGAACCAAGTTTAAATCAGCTGCCAGTGTCATCAGCTGTAAACAATCGAGCAGTTTCTGTCGGCAGCAGTATTTCTGATTACTTGATGTAGTTTTAGATGTTCAAAAGGCTTGCAAAGCTCAATTCACTCACAAATCTCCCAGAAAGCAAAGATATGTTGTCGAGAGCGACGTCCAAAATTGAAATATTCTGCACGGTACAATTTCATTTACATTTTTATTCACTGAAGGCCTGACGTGTTTGAACTATTTTGAAGCGCTTTTCTGTTTCTTTCTATGCACTCCAGTTGGCTTTTTGCCTCGAAAATCGGGCAAAATTTCACTTATCAAGGTGTGTGACACCACAACAGTAATGCGACAATAAGGTTTTTCGCTTGTAAAACTGGAAAACTGAACCTTGGCGGACGGCACAACAATAACTGGGGTAAATTAATTCGGCAGAGACCACTCGGCAGCGTGAACGGAAACTCGTCACGATTTCCTGGCACACAGAGATCTACTTCTAGCGAGCTTGTACGGACGTCGAGGAGGAGACAAACTTTGGTTCCACAGTAAACTTTATTCTAGGGCAGGCCAACAAGCGACATGACCTCTTAAGAGGGGGGTGAATAGCGGTATGCAAATCCGCCAATCCGCTACGATTTGATAACCAAATCCGTCAGTCCGTTAAGAAAAAAATTGTTAAATCAAAATCCGTTACTTACCTCGTAAAAAGGTGAAAAACACACCTTGAGCTGCTGTGTGTTAGCTAGGCAATGGCTTGCCCATCGAGCGAATTGCAATCGGTGGGGTACAGTGTCACGGCTAAAGCCCGGGGGGGACTCCCATATGAAACAAACGGGGATGCTCGTCGGAAATTTTAAATTTAACCGCTTAAAGGAGACCATCTGAGCGTGGCTTAAGCAAATTTTGACCCCTAAAAGAGACCGTTCATGTTCATTCATTGTCTCTTTGGCACTTGGTAAAATATAGAAAACTAGTTAATGTTGAGGTAATACGGTAAACAAAACAGGTTAAAAAGAAAATTTTACTTCTATTTCTCTTCGCGTAATTCTGTATTTATTCGCGGAACCCTAAACGAGACCTTGGCGGCTTAAAATATTGGTGCTTTGCCTCGAACACCCTAAGCGAGACCAAAATAAAAAATTTACACCCCTAAGCGAGACGACGAGCATCCCCGTCTGTTTCATATGGGAGTCCCCCTCTCCCCCCGGGGGATAAGGGCGCGAATACAGCGGAAGATCCAATGCATTACTAGGGAGCTTAAGATACAGACGTTTTCGGGACGACGGCAACGTAGAGACCGATTAAGATTGGGGCGAGATTGACTGCGCATGCGACCCCGCCGTCGCCCTCTTGTCGGCGACGTGAGGTCAGTGAGTTTGCCGTCATGGTGAAAACGTGAGTTGATTTTGTTTGTCTTTTTTTTAATATACTGCTAATTTTGTCACTTGTATTAAAGTGATTGCATTATCACATTTCGCAGAAGTCATCACACGATGTCTCGGCCAGTCAAGAGACCTTTTGTTTTCTCTTTAGGTTAAAATGACCGAAGCAGCAGTGAAGTCCAAATCGTCGAAGTAAGTTTTGGGCACGTACGCGTACAGTACTTGAATTCTTACCATAAAAGGGGATTTTTTGCTTGCTGCCATTCCCTTTATCAATTCGTAGATGCACCTCGCAAACGTACACCTCAGATCTATGGAGGCTTTTTTTAGCTTAGTGCGTAGTCTTGGACTGAAACGTCATATACGTCAATTAAAGTTCTTATCGCATCCGACTTTCCTTATGTAGCTAAAGGCTGGCTTCTTCGGTAGTGTAGGAGCTCCCGTAAGTTGAGTATCTCTGAAGGCATCTAACTTTCTTAATTCAGTGCAACTGAGTTCTTGTAACGACTCCAATTGATCTTAGAACGAGCTGTTGCTCTTTATACATCTCTCATATTTCAAATTATAAGATCTTAAAGCCATACGACATTGATTTTCTTATCATAATGTAGCTCTATGAAAAGTGTCTTTAATTCTTGTTTCCAAATTGACTCCGACGCCTTTTTATTTCAGCACAATGGAATTGACAAACCAGCTTGACACATTTTTTAGCGTCGTAGTAAAGGACGAGGAGATGGTGGAATTCTTCAAACGTAGCCATGCTACGACAAAAAAGCCTTCATTTATAAAACGCAACAAATAAACTCGACGAAGTCGCAGAAGTCGCAAAGGCCGGCCGTCATCAGAATCTTAACAACTTAAATTATGGCGCGAAAACGGCAACCTCTGACCCAGTCTACCTGGGTTGTCACTTCGCTGTCGCCCCGTAAACCTCTTATCTTAAGCTCCCTACTATTTCCCCGATGCGGGACATACAGAGAGTCTCATCCGTGACAAAAAAAATACACATACTCAGAAAACAACCTATTTCTGACGATCGTTCAGATCCACAATCCCAACTTCTTCAGAAGTAAAATCCAAACTCCGGACCTAAAAAATTGACAAAACCGCGAACCTTTGCAATTTCAGAATCCGCAAATCCGTTAAAATTTTGCTCTAAATCCAAAATCCGGGCAGAATAATTCTCAGAATCCGCCGATCCGTTAGCCTATTCACCCCCCTCTCTTAAGTTTCGTAATCCCCTAAACTGTACTAGGTATCTTCTTTTTTAACTAACTGGATGGATAGCTTTATTAGGGAGTAAAATCATTGCAGCCCCCGGGCCGGCTGAAATACGACTTACTTTACAATGGAAATAAATTATCTCTTACTCTAAGATAACTACAATAAAAGCTACAAAGTGTAATCTACAATAAAATACAATAAGAGAAATATCAAAAACTAAAATACAAATAATTAAGATAGCTACTAATGATTAGAACTGTTCGCCATGATAAATGTGTTTTTGAACCTATTTGTCTTACAAATCGGTAGCTTGAAGTATCTCTGGCTGCGGGTGCGATAGGTGGACTCGTTGCGTGGTGTAACGTACAATTGTTATCAAATCAACCATATTTACTCAGCAAAACAAAAGAAGCAATAACCATCTCTTTGAAGTTAAACGAAAACTTCTTAAATATTCTTAACTTTTTCTACGACTGAAAGAATTTCAAATTAAAAGGACGGATACAATAAACTCGAGGCCATTAAAAATAGGAAA